TTTTTCATCTCTATTCCTTTAAAATAAATAGTATCTTAGTGAAATTAAATTATTTTCAGTGAAGATAAATTATTTAAAGAAAGTAAATGTTGCGAGTGAAAAGAAAAGTCATATCGTTCTGTATGAATAAATCTTTGACCGTTGACCTCAAGAAAAATGCGTAAAAAATACTTATTTCTTACTGTTTTATAAAAATAATGAATTAAGTTAAAAAAATAAATAAAAGTGTTTCCTTTATTTTGTCCTTCCATTTAAAGAAGGGCGAAGTCCTCATCAGATTGGTACAGCTTGATGCAGTTGATGTAAGCTAATTGTATCATAGATAACAATAGAAAATAAAGTCTACTAATTCTTATTTACCGGAAACTTATTTTTACGTCGTAATAATTCTACTTTCTATTTATATCCATAATAATATAAGAAATTGAATTTTTCATAAAGCTACAGTGGAATAGAAGATACTTAGCCGTCTGAAACTTCACTAGTTTGACCCGAATTCCCTATTGAATAACATTCAATCAGTTCAAATCGAAAAAGCTAAATTAATAAAATTTATTTTGAAAAGGAAATTTACTTGACCTAGTTCATTTATATATAGAATGCAATTTCTTTTCAGATATTTTATGGTCTAACTTCACTTATTAAATAATGGTATTCTTATGGAAGTGTTTCTATCAGGAAAGTCCAGGTTCCATACTCAAAGATTCAATCCTTCTTTGAGGATAATTTCTCTGAGCAGATAAGAGTTTAATGAGTTACTACTTACTAACATAATAAAATATAAACCCAACACTTTAATTCATAATTTTATTATATCCTTATTAATGGAATATTAAAAATAATTATTATATTGGTGCTTTTCTAATTCTAATAATAATCTAAGTATAATTGCAAGGTATTTTATTGATTTGATTCATTTTTATGCCAATATTGAAATCTTTCTTATGATCAATTTGCTGACGATCACGCCAAAATATTATATTGTAAAAAAGGGAAGGCACTGAGGTCGGCGTTATGTGTGCGTTTTTTATTCGCTAGTACTTTCGACGAACATATAGCCGTCGTCATCAGGCGAATTATCGAAAGAATTAAACGGAAATAATCCGATTTGGAATAGAACGCTTAAATTTAAGATGAAACTTTAGTAAAAGTCGTTAGGAACACGATAGAAATATTCAAAAATGTTCGAAAAACGAACGAGCAGAAAGCTCCATGATGTGCGAATACGCGCATGCGCAGATCTAGACACACACTGTACGCATTCTGGAGNAGGGAAAAACAAAGGTCATAATTTCCAAAAGAAAAGGAAGAAAATTCTGAGAATGCCTTTGAAAATTTCATTGATTTGGTTTGATGAGATACGCAATGCAACACTTGGACGATACCAAGGGGACATCTGCCAATGGGAATGCTTCTAGGGAAGACTTTCCATGAGCATCAAGAATTGAAATAGCATCCTCATAATAAAAATATGCTACACATCTATTTAACCACTGAAAGGATTTTATATAAAGATTACCCAATATTTATCAGGAATAACATAAATACTGAATATTTATTTATAATTGAAATCGAAAACTATATTAAGCTTATTAATACATTAAATAGGAAATTAAAATAAAAAATTCACATTATATTTCACTTTTTTTTTATTAAATTTCATTCATCAATTGTAAATATTATTTGTCAAAATAATGATAATGAAATTTAATTTAATAAAAATTTCTTTTTTACTTATTTATTTTTATTTTCAGCTTTCTCCCTGAGAGCACTAAGAGGACATTTTTAATCGAGTTCAACAAAGTGCAACACGCTTATATTTTAATTTTATATACTAATTATATAAGATTTTCATTTCGGAATGAAAATTCTACTAATTTTTCTCTATTTTATAATATTAACTCGTTATATTATTCTCAATTAGCATAATGTGATGTATTTACACTGCTATTTTTTTTTTATCAAAATTTAGTATGAAATGCTGACTTATAAATGATATTATAGCAATTATTATAATCCGTAACTCAATTAAGTCCGTGAATTTAATCTCTAATAGAAATAAGTTATTTGAAGTACAAATTCTGATTTTGTATTTATAAAATGAGCTTTATAATAATATTCATTAATTAATATATATTTTTAAATTCAAATAATTGAGGAGGAATTAAATCATCATTTTCATTGTGTGACATTGTGCAGATGTCTTTAATGCCTAAATTCTTCCCAATATTACAAAATCCAGCAACGAGTTGCGTAACTTTCCCGGAAAGAGATTGAAAATCATGTGCGGCACCATCTGTTATGAAATTTTATTTCAATTATAAATTAATATAAAGAATTTTCGGAATTTTGAATTAAAGAAAAACCTTTACTTCTATTATTTTTGGACATTTACTAAATGTATTTATGTAAAAATTAATATTTAAGGAGCTCAAAAAATATAATTATCGTTTATTACATCCCAATTATACTTTATTACACCCAAAATCCTAATTCGAATCGGGCTACTCACTGACTAGATAAAGGAGATAATGAGAATGAATATTAAACATTTATGCCAATACGAATTGGAAAGTGAATATTCCATCATATAATTTAAATTTTGCTGAATTCTCTCTCATACTATGACGTCATAAATTAAGTCTATGACTTTGTTTATCTGTGAGGCAATGCTACTCAACAAGGAATCTATGCGATACATCTGGTTGATCTTATAACGTTAATTGCATTATTTAAAACAATAGATGAAAATATTTTTATAAGATTGATCTTAAATATGCGGTATATAAAATAATAGCATCTATTATTCACAATAAGTTTAAACATTAGAAAACTGAGGAGGAAACCTTTTAAAATCAAGCAATTCCTTAACTTCTACTTAATTATAGAATCTTTTCAAAACTATTAAGTATTATGTCATAGTCAAAGATAAGAAAATTATTATGAAAGGTCAAGGATGAGATCTCTCTCTCTCTCTTACTGTAAACAACTTTTAACATTATAAATAAAATTAGAATCAACATTTCTATAAATATAATATTTAGAAAAGTTAAAAGCTTATATTTATTTATAAATACATAATTTAAAAGATAAAATTTTATAAAAGTTTAAATATATATTTTTAAATTATTATATTACGTTTTTAAAATGATAAATTCGATTTAAATAAACAAATATGAACTTAAAGTTTTAGTTTTTTATTATGAAATGAATATGTTTCTTACTGAATATTTCTTTCTTGAACAATCCAAGCAATAAAATATCTAATATATATTAGATATTTTATTTTATTAAAATTATATATAAATATAGTTATAGTTAATAACTACAAAAACCTGTTTTGTTACTAGAAATAGTAATTTCTCGTCTTTCTATAGCTTTATACATACTACTATATTTTATTTTTGTGTTTTTTCTTTATTTTTAAATAAAATTTCTGCTGATAAACTATATAATATAATCCTGAATATCCTGAGACTGTATTTATTATTTTCAAGAAAGTCATTTGATATTTGAAAAAGTTTTAAATTTTATAATTAATTATGAAAATAAAAAAAGGTAATATTTTATCAAACATTTAATAAATTCAATCGTGAATCTGTTTTTTTTTTTTTATTC